AAACAAAAATATCTGGCATAGCATCGTTCTAAGTACTTTCAATGTATTAGCACATTTAGTCCTCCCCCAAATCCTATGAATTACCATTATTACCTCCAGATAATGCAAGGGGAAGGAAAATTCAACTGAACTGTGACATTTCTGAGAGTTCAGAGAAGATACCGCCTTCATTAAATAAAAATAGGGGTGCTTTAAGTATAGGAACAATGATAGAAAAAGGAAAAACTTTAAGCAATAAAAACTGTAAACCAGGTGTGGTGGCTCACACCTGTAATCCCCAGCACTTTGGGAGGCTAAGAAGGGAGGATCATGAGGTCAAGAGATCAAGACCATCCTGGCTAACCTGGTGAAACCCTGTCTCTACTGAAAATACAAAAATTAGCTGGATGTGGTAGCATGTGCCTGTGGTTCCAGCTACTTGCGAGGCTGAGGCAGGAGAATCACCTGAATCTGGGAGGTGGAGGTTGCACCACTGCGCTCCAGCCTGGGTGACAGAGCAAGACTTGTCTCAAGAAAAACAAAACGACAACCAAAAAAACTGTGATGGCAACCCTCTCCTCAAATTAATAGAAGGATCTGAAGACAAAGGTGAGGAAATCTCCCTGAGAATTCAACAAAATATAAATAAATAAAACGTAAGAATAAAGAGATTAAGAATATTTGAAAATCAATCCAGAAGTTAAGGCATCAAATCCAGGTTCATCTATCTTTCTGGAATTCCTGAAAGAGAAAACAGAAAATTGTGGGAATGAAAATACGTAAGAAAAAAAAATACAAGAAAAACTTCCAAATAATCTGAATTGAAACATCTTCCCAGGTATATAGTACAATGAATGAAAAAGACCCAGGCCAAGGCCACACTTTTGAGAAATTTCACATGTACAATTTTTTTTTATTTGTAATTTTTTCAAGACAGAATCTGTGTTCCCCAGGCCAGAATGCAGTTGTGCTATCTCTGCTCACTGCAACCTGCACCTCCCAGGTTCAAGTGATTCTTGTGCCTCAGCCTCCCAGTAGTTGGGTTTACAGGCACGCACCACCAGGCTAGGCTAATTTCCATATATTTAGCAGAAACGGGGTTTTACCAAGTTGATGAGGCTGGTCTTGAACTCCTGGCCTCAAGTGATCTGTCCTCCTTGGCCTCCCAAAGTGCTGGCATTACAGGCATGGGCCACCATGCCTGGCCAACATGTATAAATTTAAGTGATTATTAAATAACAATGAAAACTACTAGCTCTTAGTAATTTTTTTAAAAGTGATTTCATGGCTGGGCATGGTGGCTCACGCCTGTGATCCCAGCACTCTGGGAGGCCGAGGCGGGCGGATCACGAGGTCAGGAAATCGAGACCATCCTGGCCAACATGGTGAAACCCTGTCTCTACTAAAAATACAAAAAAATTCACTCGGTGTGGTGGCACGCACCTGTAATCCCAGCTACTCTGGAGGCTGAGGCAGAAGAATGGCTTGAGCCCGGTAGGCGGAGACTGCAGTGAGCGGAGATTGTGCCACTGCACTCCAGCCTGGCAACAGAGTGAGATTCTGCCTGAAAAAAAAAAAAAGTGATTTCACATACAGTCTCACTTTTAAATGGGCTTGAGGGGGGCCAGTGCTCTATGTCAGAGACATGGCAACAGAGAATAAAAACTTGCAGGATGTCATTTTTCAACCTTTCACAGATGAGAGAGCACAGTTCATTAATACATAGGTATGTTTGCATGTGAACATAAATGTGTACGTGGACAAGCTTTGGAATGTATGTCCAATTTCCTAAGCTAAGTGATTAGCTCTCAAAGATACAGTGCATGACTTCTAATTCCTTGCTGTTCCCTCAGATCAACTGAAAACTGCCTTGACTGGGTAGGTCTGTGCAGAGTTGACTGGTATGTGAAACAAGGCTGGAGAAAGGAGATATGTCATGAGAAGTGCCTTTTTTTTTTTTTTGAGACAGAGTTTCACTCATGTTACCCAGGCTGGAGTGCAATGGCGTGCTCGGCTCACCGCAACCTCCGCCTCCTAGGTTCAGGCAATTCTCCTGCCTCAGCCTCCTGAGTAGCTGGGATTACAGGCACGCACCACCATGCCCAGCTAATTTTTTGTATTTTTAGTAGAGATGGGGTTTCACCATGTTGACCAGGATGGTCTTGATCTCTTGACCTCGTGATCCACCCGCCTTGGCCTCCCAAAGTGCTGGGATTACAGGCTTGAGCCACCGCGCCCGGCGAGAAGTGCCTTTTTTTAACTTGTTTCCCTAAACACCCTTGAGGTATAGTGAATACGGTCATCTTTTCTCACTGTGTGCTCATCTGAACAAGGTTTTAAATTTTGATATCTTCAGATTTCTACTGTTAGTTTTAGGCTTGGGGAGCCCTCTTCCCTTCCAATAGTGTAGCTCTAGAATTCTGTCAATAAACAAGATAGTGTGAATTAATTGAATTGACTGCATCAGTAAGGGGGGTATTCAGTGTCTATTTCCTCCATGCCAAGGGGAGCCAGGTGAGGTAAACTGAGCTAAGTGAAATGGATTGGTCAGACAGTCTCTTCACCACATCTTGGGCTTTGGAAGAATTAGTAAAAAATGGACACGGACAGAATGTAAACGGAAAGTTGAACAGCTTATTCACCAAGATGGTGGGTTGTAGTTTCCTGCAGCCACACAGTCTGTGTTAAAACAGGGCTGTGGTTTTGAAGAGCTGTGCATTCTTAGCTGTTGCAGATTATACTGGGAATGGAAACTAAAGCAGTCAGTGGCAGCGACCACAACCCAGAAGCTGAAACCACGCTCTAATTTTATACAAAATTACTAGTTCTGGCTCTGTTCATTGCTTATGAGTTTTCATTTAGACTGCAAAGATTACATTTAGTTGTGTGTCAAATAACATCTTGAAAACTGACTGAAGAAAATGATTTAGCCCTCAGTCATTTGTACTAACCCACAAAATGTCAGTATAAACATTTTCTAATATACTGTAAAGATACAACCTCTAGGATCAACAGTCAGTACAATTATAGGAGTGAAAAATGGAGGGAATAGCCAAAGCAGCCGTGACAAAAGAGGACAGACAAAAAAGATGAGGAGGAGGAGGAGGAGGAGGAGGAAGAAAAATAGGAGAATGAGGAAAATTGAGTTTGCATTTAGGAAAAAAATATAGACTTACATTTATTTATGTGAATATCTTTCCAAATCTAGGAAGTAACAGTATATTAAAGAGAATGGTGACAGCTTACTGTAAAGAGAAGGCTAAACACCAACCTTATTGGGCCAATGTGTTATTGAGAATTGGCTACTAACAGCTGAAAAATGTTTGGCCTTTTCATCTAAAAAAAAAAAAAAAACTACTCTTAGGCCAGGCACAGTGGCTCACGCCTGTAATCCCAGCACTTTGGGAGGCTGAGGCAGATGGATCACCTGAGACTGGGAGTTCAAGACCAGACTGACCAACATGGAGAAAGCCTGTCTTAAAAACAAAACAAAACAAAACAAAAAAAACTACTCTTTGTGGGAAAGAGTACTAACCTTTTTTTTTTTTTTTTTTTTTTTTTTATGAGACAGGTTCTCTCTCTGTCACCCAGGCTGGAGTGCACTGGTGTGATCATAGCTCACTGCAACCTCTGTCTCCTGGGCTCAAGTGATCATCCCAACTCAGCTTCCCAAGTAGCTGGGACAACAGGTGCATGCCACCATGCCTGGCTAATTTTTGTGTTTTTGTAGAGACGAGGTCTTGCCATGTTGCCTGCGCTGGTGTAGGAGTTGAGTCAGGATAGTGGGAGAAATTTTAGAAAATGCAAACCTTCTTAGAAGGCTGGAAGGTTTTGCAAAAGCCTTGGGAAAGAGGTTATGGATGAAAGCAACCTAACTCCCTTACCTTGAGCTAATATCTAGGAGTAGATACAAAGGAATGTAGAGGAGTTTATCTAAATAGCTTATTTACTCATGTGGTCCTAAGACCAATCTTTGATCTTCTTTGGGTGCATGACTGCTCTCTACTTGGGGGTGGGGGATGGTCAACAAAGTTAATTACCCTCTAATGGTGTTTACTTTGTCAAATGCCGCCGGAGGCTTATGGGGCAGCTGCTGATTCTGGGAGCAGAGCCCCTTAGCCATGCTGACAGGCAAAATATCTGTATCAGTCTAGTCTTTCATCTATTGCTCAGTCAGGGTCTGTGGGTTGGACCCAACGAGCTGGTCTTGAACTCCTGGGCTCAAGCAGTTCACCTGCCTTGGCCTCCAAACTGCTAGGAATAGAGGTGTAGCCACTGCACTCAGCCTAGAAAGAGTACTAATCGTTTGAATTAAAGTAGACTAAAATTCCAGTAAGAATTTCAAAGTGAAATTTGCCTTCTTTTATTTAGCCTCAAGTCTCTCAACAGTTGCCTATATCAGCAGTGAGAGTCAACATTTCTTTTCTATAACAACTATGACTTATCACTTGACTTTATACATAGTATGAATTCCAGATAGTTATTAAAAATGAACACGAGTAAGTAAATGAATAGACAATGCTGGAGTAAACAGATTTTAGAATTATGAGTTCCTAGCCAGACTCAGTGGCTCATGCCTATAATCCCAACACTTTAGGAGGCTGCAGCAGAAGGATCACCTGAGGCCAGGAGTTCAAGACCAGCCTGGGCCACATAGTGAGACTTCCATCTTTACAAAAAATTTAAAAATTAGCCAGATGTGGTGGTGTGCACCTGTAATCCCAGTTACTTGGGAGGTGAAGGCAGGAAGATTGTGTAAGCCCAGGAGTTTGAGGCTGCAGTGAGCTATGATCACACCACCACACTCCAGCCTGGGTGACAGAGTGAGACCCTGTTTCAAAAGAAAAAAAAATGAGTTCTGCAAAGTTTTGATAGACCAAATAAAAGCATTTTTATCAATCTGCACCATATTTTAAAGTTTGTACTCTGGAACCACAAATAAAAATTTCAGAAAGAACCTCCCAGCAGCACAGCTGAAATCTGTGTTTTGTTTGTAGGGCAAACACTGCACACAAGGAGGATGACATTTTAATGTAATTTATTTGAAATACTTCCAGAAAAGTTTAAGGCCGTTATACAAAAACATTCATTTCATCAAAACATTCATTGACTTTCTTACCATAGGCCAACATATGACAAACCTCTTTTCCCAGCACACTGGCTGATGGGTCCTACAAAGTGGCTGATGGCTCCTACAAAGAATCATTCATTCTTTTCTTCACCATTAAAAGGCTGTTCTTGGCTTTCCTCTGCTTCTATCTGCAGCAGGTTCACTTGCTGTATCAATAACAACTTGAGAAACAAAGCAGGTTTAAATAAACTTGTGATAGAAAAAATTCACCATGTTTAAGATCTATAAATACAGAAATATGTTTTACAGGGTAAAACTGACAATATCTTTGTTTTTAAAAAATAATAAAGTAATATACCTTGTTTTTATATTGATATATCTTGTCACACAGCTTCTTTGAATGCACATGATATATGTACATAATAAAATGACATCAATGCATTTACTGCTTACTTTTCTGTAAACTTGAAAGACAGAAAATTAAAAAAAAAATTTTTGGCAATAATTTAGAATCATTACTACTAGTGCTGGTGTGGGTACAATTTTGCACAGGACATTCTTAATATTTACACTTGCAGGGAGCTCTTCTACGTACTTAGCTTTTTTTAAGGTCTGCACTTTACCTTGCACTGTAAATCAAGGCTGGACAAAGAGGCTACTAATTTGGCTAGCTGATCCTAATTAATCAGAGTTAATGAAATTGGCCTCTGGAGAATGTAATTACAATTCTGGTTATAGCACAGAACCAGAGATGGCAAACTGATGACCCAAAAGCAGAGCAGGAAAGCCCAAGGCTCTGGCCTTTCTCAGAAGGCACTGGACCATGCTTTTCTCTTAATGGCTCCCATAGAAGTTTCTGATGAAATGCTTTTCATTCCAAATTATTCCGCTCCTGTGTTTCTGTAAACAGTGTCATTGGTAGAGTCACGGTCTCTCTTCCTTGTTCCTTCACTCATTCTCTAAAATGTGAGTAGGCCTAGGCAGATGAAACATAATGAAGACAGGGCCTTCTTGTTATCCTGGCAGGCTTCCCTAGGCCCTTTGGGTTCTATTCGGATGTTTTAGGCTAGCCACCAACTATGAGAGACACCTCCTGGTGCCACGTGCATTTCAGTTAAAGATTCAGAGCTGGCAGCTGCTTTTGTCCTGACCCTCTATTTTATGTCCTAATAAATTCTTGCATCAAACTTGCACTGGATTAAGTTGCAAGGTTCAGACAATGCATCCTCCTTTGCAAAATTAAGCCTTCAGAATGCCCAGGGATGTTTTCAAGCTTTCTAGTTGAATAAAATCAAACCAAGTTCACTTCATGGGTTGGTCTTTCCTGATTTTCTCTCTAGTACCATCCTGATACACAGGTGATTTTCTCATGCCCTGTTTACAAGGCCCTCTAAATTTTTAGCTACCACATCAAAGAGCTGGGAAAGTGCTAGAGAAGCACAAGAGGAAAGACTCTTCAAGCAATCTATGTAAAACAGTAGTTTCGGGATTGTTTTTCTATTTTTTTTTTTTTTTTTAATCCAGCAGGACAATTGAAAGTAACTTGTTTGAGTACCTCTCCATCCATCCAAACACTTGGGAAATATAACGCAGGGTAACGGTTGCCACAGATTCCAGCTTACACAGACAGGCTGGCAGTTACAGTACTAGGGACAAAGGTACAGATACAAGAGACTGGGCCAACATGGTCACAAAAGTATTAAAAAGTGCTTTTCCAAACCGTTCCATCTGCGGAATGCAAATACTGTACAGGTAAGATGCAGGCCTGCTTCCTGAAGTGTGCATGCTTCTGTCAGACGTTGCTTTCAACATGCCTGCTGTTCCCACAGGAAGAGTCTGTCTGTTCCATGCGCTCACAGTCGAGGCTGACCTCACTGGTGTCCATACTACAGTCTGACTCACTGTCTGATTGGTCCATCTGCTCAAGTTTTGTTTCTCCCTGTAGCTCTCTGCTCCCAGTGATGGGATTCAGGAATGATCCCTCGGAGTCAAGCACCCCAGCCTGCCCAGCAGCACACAAAACTGTTTCTTTGGCTTGACGAATACAGTTAAGCCACTGCTGTTTGTTGAAGGTGTCATTGGCTTGTAGTGAGTGGGTCTGACTTTGGGATCCATTCTTGAAACTGATTCTGAAGAAGTTTTTAACTAGAAAGGAAAAACACATGAAAAACAGTCAATGGACAGATCCTTCCTCGGGCCAAAGAGAACGTATGTAGTGACACTAAACCCCAGAATCCACAGCAGGTATTGCTGATTACAAAACGTTTCCCAGTGAGCCAGGATATGGCTCAGCTCCACCCTGCAGCTGCCATCAGGGAGTTGGGGTTGACACAGGTCTAGCGTTCAGCTGCCCTCATTACTCTCAGAAACTAGCAGGTGGAGATCATCGTGGAAAAACAAGGTCAAGTGATTCAGGGGAGCCTGGAGTACTTGTGGCAAAATCTGGCTGCGTAACAAAATCCCTTGGAGTGAGCTTGTTAAGACCGGGCGCGGTGGCTCACGCCTGTAACCCCAACACTTTGAGAGGCCGAGGCGGGCAGATCACAAGGTCAAGAGATTGAGACCATTCTGGCCAACACTGTGAAACTCC